ATTTTCTTTCCTTCATTTGGTCATTCAATAAAGATATATTTCTGTGCAGGCACATTGACCCATTACAACCATGTTATCTTTTTTTTTTTTTAAAAGATGACCGGTAGGGCCGGCCCGGTGGCGCACTGGATAAGTGCGCCGCTTGGGAAGCACGGCTGCGCTCCCGCCCGAGGGTTCGGATCCCACATACAGACCGGTTCCCGCTCACTGGCTGAGCGAGGCGCGGGAGCAACACTGAGGGTTGCGATCCGTTGCCGGACACGGAAAAAGACAAAAGACAAAAAAAAAAAAAAAGAAGGCCGGGAAGGGGATCTTAACCCTTGAGTTGGTGTTGTCAGCACCACCACGCCCAGCCAGTGAGCGAACCCGCCATCCCCACATGAGATCCGAACCCGTGGCCTTGGTGTTATCAGCACCACACTCTCCCGAGTGAGCCACGGGCCGGCCCCTACAACCATGTTATAAATGTGGACTAATTCCCAGCTAGCCCAAAGCCAATTTAATCCGTAAGGGCTATGGTGTGAGCTAGCCTCGGGACCTAACCACTGCCTACAGTATTCTATAGAAAACACAGATTTCGGGAACTCATCTATCTCCTGCCAAACCACACACTGTCCCACTAAGAACAGAACATGGTGTCACAGGGAAGCCTGCCCACCACCCATGACTGGCTGAATACCAAGGGTCGTTCTGCCGTGTAGACTGTATAGATATTTGGGCTAAGGAAAAGGGCTGGTCTATGTTTTTTGGGTGTTGTTTTTTTTTTCCAATTGATTTTCTGTTTTATTTTTTCATTGTATAAGTAATCATGAATACATGCTCTTTTTTCCTTTTTCTTTTTTTTTTTTTTAAAGATGACCAGTAAGAGGATCTTAACCCTTGACCTGGTGTTGGCAGCAACACGCTCACCCAAATGAGCCACGGGAGGGCCTTTTTTTTTTTTTTTTTAGCGGCTAGCTGGTACAGGGACTGAACCTGGACCTTGGTGTTATCAGTACCTATGCTCTAATGAACTGAGCTAACCAGTCAGCCCACATGCTCATTTTTAAAATGTAAACAATAGTGTAGTATACTCGTACTAGGGCACTTCAAAAAGTTTGTGGGAAAACAGAATTAAAAGATAATATGAATCTTTCTGTGAACTTTTTGAAGACCCCTCATATAAAGTACAATTAACCCTAACCCTCTTCACAATCCCTTTGTGTTAGTCCGTTTTGTGTTGCTATAACAGAAATACCTGAGACTGGGTAATTTATAAGGAAAAAGGGTTTATTTGGCTTACGATTCTGGGACAGCTGCATCTGGCCCAGGCCTCAGGCTGCTTCTACTCATGGCGGAAAGTAGCAGGCAGCTGACGGGTACAAGCAGGTCACATGGAGAGAGGAAGCAAGAAAGAGCCAGAGAGGAGGTGCCAGTGTCCTTTAAACAACCAGCTCTCGCAGGAACTAATAGAGCAAGAACCCACTCACTACCCCCCCGCCCCCAGGGAGAGCATTAATCCATTCATGAGGGATCTGCCCCCATGACTCAATCACTTTCCAACACTGCCACACTGGGGATCAAATTTCCACATGAGTTTTGGAGGGGACAACACATCCAAACTCCATCACCCCTTAATCCTACACCTCTTCCCAAATGTGACCACTACTAACCGGCATTTTAATCGCACTTGCAAACATACAGATGTATATATCCACGTATAGTTTTTGTTTTGTTATGTTTGACATAGATGGGACCGTGATATATGTATTATTCTGCAGCTTGCTCTTTTTCACATGGTATGTTGGAGAGCTCTCCATGCAGGACAGAAAGGTCTGCTGCATTCTTTTTTTTGGCGTTTTTTTCCTTTGGTGTTTTTTTTTTTTTTTTATGGTGGTAAAATATACATAACAAAGAAGTTGCCATGTGTTCAATTCAGTGGCATTAATTACTTTCACAATGTTATACAACCAGCACCAACCATTCTTTATTTCAAAAACTTTTTCATTACCCCAAACAAAAACTCTGCAACTATTAAGCAAAATCGCTCCCCATTCCCCTCCCCCAGCCCCTGGTAACCTCTACTCTACTTTCTGTCCCTATGAATTTGCCTATTCTAGATATTTCGTGTAAGTGGAATCATATATTATTTGTCCTTTTCTGTCTGACTTACTTCAGTCAGGATAATGTCTTCTAGGTTCATCCATGTTATATCATGTATCAGAATGCTGCATTCCATTTAATCCCTATAGATGATTTCATTTTATGAATGTACCATTATTTATATAATTAATGTATGTACACATTTCATTGGAAATTGTGAATTGAAAATTATGCCCAACTGTTCTCTATCCTCTGTATGTAAATGCTGTGGTGAGAATCCTGGTACACAAATAAATCTTCATGCGTATGTGAAAGCCTTTTCCAGAATCAATTCCCGTAAGAGGAATTGCTGCATGAAAGGATATATGCATTTTAAAATTTGATACATATTTACCTATTGCCCTCTAAAAATGCAGCACCAGTAGACACTGCCACCCACAATGTATATGAGCGCCCCGTCCCACATACCCTTACAGACTCTGGCATTTCAATTAGTTGAAATTCTTCCAACCCAGTGGTCAAAAAATATTTTCTGATTACACTACCCACTGCCTTGAATGCGTGGGAGGTTGAGCACCTCTTCATCTGTTTATTGGCATTTGCATATCCATGGCTTATTTTTAGTTAAATTATTTTTTTCTTTACTATGTATTACAGATAGTAAGTCTGTGAAGTTTGTTACTTGTCATGTAGCTTTTGTTTATAATGTCTTCTTAGGAAAAATTTTATTTTTTACATGGTCAAATCTGCCTTTGTCTCCCTTTTCTGCTATTTCAGTTTTGGGTTCCATCGATGGGTCCTTCCTCTCCCAAATTTATTATTAATTTTTTTTCCTTTTTGTCTTTTTTCATGACCGGCAACGGATCGCAACCCTCAGTGTCGCACCCGTACCGGCCCGGGACCGGCAATGGGATCGCAACCCTCGGTGTTGCTCCCTGCACCTCGCTCAGCCAGTGAGCGGGAACTGGTCTGTATGTGGGATCCGAACCCTCGGCGGGAGCGCCGCCGCGCTTCCCAAGTGGCGCACTGTAGCAGTGCGCCACCGGGCTGGCCCTCCCAAATTTATTTTAAAAATTGTTTTGTGGGCTAGCCAGTTAATCGGTTGGTTAGAGTACAGAGTTGTAACACCAAGGTCAAGGGTTCAGATCCCCATACTGGCCAGCCACCCCCCCAAAAGATATTGTTTTGTATTTTATTCTAATAGATTTATTATTTGGGTTTGTTATTATGTACAGTGCTTTAATCTATCTGGACTTTCTTTTTTGTTTGTTTTGTTTACCTTTTATTGTGGAAAACCTCAGGTATACACACGTTATTTTGGAGCACATCACTGACATACCATTTTGTCTGTAAAAGTTTCAGCACATTATATCTGAAAGGTAACTCATTTTTAAAAAACACACAACCAAAGCATGATTACACACCTAAGAATATTAATGATAAATAGTTTTTTAATATCATTAGATATCCAATCAGTGGTCATATTTCCAATTGTCTTGTAATGTCACATTTTATAAGTGTTTGAATTAGGAGTGAAATAAAGTCTTGAAAATACAATTGGTTTGTATATTTCTTAAGGTGATAGTTAACATGTTCCCCTGTCCTTTATATGTACTCTAAATTGTATCTTTTAGTTAGATGTAGAGGTGTGATCAGATTCACATTTTTTGGCAAGACTACTTCATAAAGGGTTTCCGTCTAAGTTTATTTTTGTGTACAATATCAGGTGAAGGTCTAACCTGAATTTTTTTTTCATATACATGGTTAATTGTATGTTGTGCCAACATCATATACTCAATAGGTCATTCTTTCCTCCCAATAATTTGAAATGCCACTGTTATACCACAGCACACACATGTGCACATACACTTACATCTCTTTATGGATAATTTGGATTCTTTTTTTTTTTTTTTTTTTTTTTTTTTTTTTTTTTTTTTTTTTTTTTTTTTTTTTAAAA